ACACGAGAGATTGGTCCGATTGATTCCATCGTGGTGCTGTTTTCTAAGCACCACGGACGTGTAACAAAACGAGCGAAACGTGTGATTAACCCATCGCGCGCAAACGTAGAAAGCTATTCGAGGTGGCAAGAGGATGAAGCTCGGTCGGTAATAAATGGTTTGACACAATGGAAAGGGGCGCGGACACTCGGTTGATTAGTATCGCTGGCATCGTGCAAGCGTATTGCGCACGGTTGAAACGCGATATCCCCTCGTGGCCAACGTATAAGTACAAGCTTGTATTTACGAGGCAATAACATTTGTTCGCTGTACACTTAAGCCGATAATAACCGGGACAAACGTTGCCCCACGAAGCTTTGACAACCTGGTGTTGCGGTGATTTAAGCAATGGAGAACGGTTCGGCTCAACGTCTCGCGATTCTTAGTCGTGAAAATTTACGGCTAATGGACGTTTACTTTCGTCGCGTAAGAAAGGCTCGACCCTCGATGCTCTCCTCATTATGGCAACGCTATCGATTTTGAACGAGGGGATCTGTTACGCAGAATTTAATCGCATCGCGTCTTGGAAATATGGAGATTTCTCGGTTTCAATGAAGAAAGATTTTTCTCGTTAAAGTTGGCTCGAAAAAGTTATATGGAATATCGCCACGCATCTTTGAAAGCATTGATTGAACGATAATTCCGACGTGTTAAAAATAACGGGTCGAAATAAGAAGAAACGAAACTAGGGCAACTGGAAGGAAAATTGAATATAATTATCAGAAATTTTGCATGATACGTTAACATCGTTTATCATAGTTAACTCCCAGTTATTACCTACATGCAAATACACCGTAATTTATCATTAACTATGAATACATCTAAATTTCTTGATTATTTTCCGCAAAATTCTCTCGTGAATAATTCACCCTTCGTAATTTATAACGGTAACAATTCCCTCAAAAATAAATCATTCCTCGATTTTCAATGTACACACATACATACACACGATTTATAATCACGCATCCCGTGAATATCCCGCAAATTCCTTGTTAATTTCCAAGATAACGAGATACCGAAAATTGCAATAATAAAATTTCGAGATAAACTTTTTAACGCTAGAAATACTACTTTCTACTGCGGGCGAAAGTCAAACAATCCCCTTATGATCTCGAGCGGCCGCCAATCAGTTCTCGTTTCATCCGACTCTTATCGCGCGTGGCACAAAGCACGGCGGCATTCGGTGATTGTGCGCGTGTACAGAGAGGAGAGACTTGAGAGAGGTCCACGAGGCCCTTTTGTTAGTAGCGGCGAAGGAACGGCCACGTCGAAATTCGGTAATTGCTTTCTGGATTGGCTCGGCCGCTCTGGGAGTTTAATCTGTCTGTTTCTCAGCCACGTGTCTGAAATTATTGAATATTCTAGGAGAATTTTGCGGGCGAAAAAGTACTACATCGACGGATTGGAACACAATTTTTGTTCCACGAGGGGATGGAAAAAAATAAGATGAATTTAATTATATCAGCTTGTGAACGTATAGAACATATACCAAATTGCTTGTTCAAATTAGGAAACTTATCATGATCAAGCTGAAACACTGATTCCAAATGAAACTGGCAGCGCTAAAAGCCGAGACTTTCCTCCTTTTGCTCCCGGCACGTCTGTCTGCTCGAAATTCGGTAATTGCTTTCAGGATTGGCTCTGGTAAGGCAAGAGTCTAAATCTGCCAGTTCTTGCCGTATGTTTCGAGTCCAGAATATCGTGCCTCGCTTCTCTTTCTAATCCCTAAGGATATTTTTGTACCGCTTACTTCTTAACATTAGTTTTAACTGCTAAACATTTATGAACCGTTAGTTTCACATGTTAAAATTTT